GACAACAGATTTTATTTGGGAGGAAAAATAATCAGCCGACAGATTTTTCATTGAAGGGAGTGCTGGGAGCTTGATTGCTTCAGATCAGAACAATATATTTTAAGTCCCCAAAGGTAGCTATCTGGACGCCTGCCAAACTGGAACGGGAAGGACAAAGAATGTCTCCACTTAATTAGAACCGTGCACCAATTACTCCGCCCCGGTTCGTTTCAGAAGGATGTTTCTCCAAGCTACTCACGTAGAGGCAGGGCATGTACACTCGGTTGCCAACAATCACATCGATGAATTCATCTGCGCTACAGTCTTCCCTGAATAGCACCTCGGCGTTGAAGATTTCTTAGGATGGGAGAGGTAAGGGCGCATTGTATTTCGTGGGACTCACGCTGCTCGCGGCCACAGGAACAGAGCCCAGCTGGGATTCGAATGCCAGGCAAGCTTTTGCCTACCTCTGTGTCAACCCATCTACCCATCCCTTAAAATCTTGGGTCCTTGGGGAGAAGAAAGGGTCACGCCCCCCAGGAGAAAGGATACTGTATTCATGCAGGATGAGCTGCACCAGCTTCTCCGAGCACTGGGTCAAGGTCACGGTGGAGTTGAAGGAGATGCCACCTCCCTTCTTGGGCTGGAAGGAGGACAGAGGTGCTGTTAGGACGATGCCGGAATGTCCCTCAATGTCAAACCTACCACAGGTGAACGGATATATGGTCTCATGATTCCCCTGGCCTGAATTCAGGACAAAAGAGGGGCCTAACCCAGGTTGCCCCACCAAAGGATCTAAGCTTGTGGGAAGGCAAATAAAAGCCTGGAGTGACATCCGGTTCCAGGCTTCTCCAACCTGACTCTCTGCGGTTGTCTGGAACTACCATACGGGAATATTTGTGGGGCTGATGGAGGTTGGGATCCGGCCATCTGGACAGCCTAAGCTTCCCCTTTCCCCCTTGAACGGGAGACGCCAGCAGGCAAAGGCAGCTCCCTCCCACAGTACAAACCAGGGTTTTGAGGCTTTCTGCGTCTCACCTTGAAGTAGATGTTGGGTTTATTCTTGTTCAGCCTGATGCCCACCGTTTCTAATTCCTTTTCCAAGAGAGCTCTGCAGGAGGAATCATAACACACACTCAAACTCTTGCCCAAATGTATGTTTGCAGAGTATGCCCTGCGCCCTGATGACAAGCAGTAACCCTTACATTTTGCACAGGTACAGAGAAGACGCGAAGGCTGCCTTCTTAGGGGGCTGGCAAAGGAGAAATCCCCAAGGACTGAGCCTCTTCCCACACCATTCTGCCCCTCAGAAGCCCCTCCCACCTGCTGACCTCTGGACTTCGCCCTTGGTGGCGTCCAGCATCATGATGACAACATCCGAGGTCCGGGCCACTGCAATCACTTGGCGTCCTCGGCCCTTCCCTAACAACACATTTTTTTACTCTTACAGAGAAGCCGACAAAGAACCAGGGCATAAAAGAGAGAGATCGTGCCCATTTTTTGACCTGGTCAACCCCGACAGAACCCCCTCTCTCTGAAAGTTGACATAAACATTGCTTTCTCCTACAACAGCTCAAGGGCAGCTCTCCCCCTCCCCCATCTGACACTTCTCAACAATGGGACTTCCTTATTTTTTTATTTCGTTTATTCGAATCCCGCCTTTATTATTTTGGCAAACATCTCAAGGTGGTGAACATATCCAATACACCTTCCTCCTCTTATTTTCCCCACAACAAAACCACGAGGCATTTAGCAATTAAAAAACAAAAGGAATTCCAACCTTGAGCAGCTCCTTCAATGATCCCAGGAAGATCCAGAAGCTGGATATTGGCTCCTTTGTACTGCACATAAATGAAGAAAAATCAGGAGAGGCAGGGAGGGCTGGGAAAGCAACCCACCACACTGATGATCGAGCAATCATCTCGTATGAATCTGAGTGCCAATTTAACAAGCAATTGAACTAGTCTGTGAGCTTCCCATTCATAGAAGCAGCAGTATTGGCTCTGAGTGAATTGCTACCCCAGCGAGAGGGAACCTATTAAAAGTGCATTTACCTCTATGACTCCAGGAATACAGGTCAGTGTGGTGAATTCATAAGAAGCTGCTTCACTAGCTGTGGAAGTCATTAAACTCAGAAACGTGGACTGAAAGAGAAGGCAGAGATTTAGAAAGCAGCAGAACTTATTTTCAAAGCCATGCCCAAGGAGTTCTTGTTCTCTGCTTGGCACTGACCTTACCCACAGAAGGGAAACCGATCAGCGCCACCCGGGCGTCTCCCGACTTCATCACATCGAAGCCTTCCCCTTTGCCTGCAGCCGATTTGGAAGGCTCTAGAAGCTGAGCTCTGTACTTGGCGAGCTTGGCCTTCAGCAGACCAAGATGGTACTCGGTAGCTGGGGGGGAAATTGGAGAAAGAACAAGCAGGTGACAAAGGAGCCAAATTGACAACTCAGGACAATCTGTTTCATCTGAGTCACCGCAAATTCCTTGGCCAGCAGCTACAATAAACCTAAAGCAATATTAATCATAATGCAGTAGTAACAACACGTTTTTCTTTGTTTTTCTTGCTACGCTCTATAAATATAATCCCACGTGGCCCTTTTCTGCCTCTCTTCCTGTTTTCTGCACACACCACTCGCTTCTCCTTGCATGTTTCTGCACATGCAACATGCGAGCTGTGCCGGCCATTTGCTTTCACACTTGTGGACCGTCAGGACAGGGATGGCGGCTGTCCATTGCTTCTGGAGGCTGGCAGGAAGAGGAGGAGGAGGAGGAGGAGGCAATTGGCCCAAAGGGAATCCTGGTGGCTTCAATGGCTTTGCTATGATCTGGGCTGCAGGATGCAGCCAGTTGTTGTTGTTATTCAATCAATTTGCCGCCTATCTCAGCATCATACTCTAGGCGGCTCACAACCATACAAGAAACGAAGAAATAAAATGGAAGTTTAAACAACGCAAAAGTAAAATAACAAAACGATAAAACAAACGAAAAAGAAAACAGTTCATTTAGGCGGCCGTTTATTGTATTTAGGAAATGTATAAAAGCGTAAACAGGCACATGCGATACACGTACACATGTATGTCACAGACAGACAGACACACACACATGTATGCTTGTATATATATGTGTGTGTGTGTGTGTGTGCATGTATACACACATATATATATATACATAAACACACATATGTAGGTGCACACATGTATATATACATATACACATATATATGCATACACACACACGCACACGAACGAGTCAGATTTTGAAAAAAAATTAAATGTTATTTTGTATTAAATGACCCCCCCCTCGAATTAAAGTAACAGGCAAATAAATAACCGGCGGCCTTTTTCCCCTCCAAGGGGCATCTTTAAAGAGGCTGGAGGTTCGGGCAACCCGCCCCTCTTTCCAGCCCGCGGAAGCCCCGCTCAGGCAGCCCTCCAACAGGTGAAGCGCCCCTCCCCGGCCCGCCCGAGGCTCCGGAGCGCTTCCCCGGCGGGGCTCCTGCCCGACGGGCTGCCCCCCCTCGCGCCTCACCTTTGTTCTTCTGGGTCCGGGCGATCTCCTTCTCGATCTCCGCGATCTTCTCCAGGATCCCCATCGTGGCGAGTCTGGCGGACAGGGATTAGGGACGGGCTGCCCCGGAAGTAGTTCCGGGGCAGATCCGGCACGCCAAGCCTTCCGCCCGGCAACCGGGACCAGCGATGTTTCATTCCGTCCCTGTCGGGGAAAGCTGGACTAGCGGGGAGGCCGCCCCAAGCCAAGGCAAAGACAATTGTACTAATTTTACACAATTGTGTTTTGCTTTGTTTTGGTTGTGTCCAGCCTTGGCAACTTTAACACTGGTGGACTTCAATTCCCAGAATTCCCCATCTAACAGCATGGCTGGCTGGAGAATTCTGGGAGTCGAAGAGCACTGATCTTAAAAGTTGCCAAGGTCGGACATCCCTAATATAGTAAACTGTCAGCAGGCACAAATTTAATATATTATTTAATACATATATTAAAAATATTGTTCAGCCCCTATATTAAAACATCATTTATTACATCCATACACAGCTCAGAATCACCTAAGTTGAGCCATGTACGCAATTCAATAGAATTTTTTTTTTCATCCTATCCCCATTCAGATAACAGATAATCAGAGTTGGAAGGGACCTTATAGGTAATCTAGTCCAACCCCCACCCAGGCGGGAGACCCTACACCATTTCTGACAAATGGCAGTCCAATCTCTTCTTGAAGATCTCAAATGATGGCATCCCCAAGGCTTAAGGGTCACTTCTGTCCTCTTTTCATTTTTGACGTACTGGCTTCTGAATATCTGCTTTTTTCTGGGCATCTACAATCCCAAGGAAAAATGAAGAAGCTTCTTTAGCTGATGGGGTCTTCAGCTAAAGAGTTGCTCCCAGCTATTGGCTAAAGGTTGGCCAGCGGTACAAAGCCCATATTGCAAATATTACAAAACCCTCCCAGTACATGGCCCTCCCAGCCCAAAGGAGAGTTAGGTGGATTTCTTGGCAAAGGGCAGAGGGTAAAACAGAGCTCTATAGCATCACAGTGACAGGCCAAACACAAAAGATGTTTTTAAACTGCTGATCTTATTTCAATCATCCAGATATCCAGTATGCAAAGTAGCCATCATACCAACTTGCAAGAAAGTGATGAAGTGGGGGTGTGGGGGGGTTTTAATTTTCAGAAATTAGCCTTTGATTAACATTTCTAGTTCTTTGAAGTAATGAAGCAGGAATGTGAAATTTTGACAAGCACAAAAGGTACATTAAGGATGCTGGCCCAATTTTATTTATATGCCCAGGCATCCAGGACTTGCTTTTCTCCCCCCCAAAAAAAGTTTGTCAAACATGTGAATACTGATATTCTGTACCCTTCTCTCCCCAGGGAAAACAATTAGAATTGTCCACATGGTTCTGAGCCTTTTGGAAAATATCAACTTGCTTAAGAATTATGAGACTAATTATGAGCTGGGCAACCTGATAGAGGAATAAAATAAGGAAGAGCACACATGAATGCTTTTTAAATACACATTCTTTTATTTGGGACACTGATAACTCTGGAAGAAAAAAAAACCCCAGTCTCTTTTCTGCAATTCATCTATAAATACTCTTTAATACTGTGATTAAGCTTATAACATCCTTTCCATACATTTTGGAAGACCCCTTCGACAAGCTTCATCCTGTTTTTTTCAATAAACCCAGAGGCAACGGCTCTTGTTTAATAGACAGAGAGAATGAAAGACAAGCCTTAAAGGGGGAAAAAAAGCTATTTTCAAAAGAAAAGTTGAAATACTAACTTTACCCAACTTAATTCCCATCTACTTCATCTCAAGCGCAAGCATCTGTTAGTGCATCAAACCAGAGTTCTAGGCCAAAAATGAATGTCACATCGATGCCTTAAACAGAATGGAAATCCTGCTTCCTCCAACCTGATATTGCCTTGTTTATTCCAAGTTATTCAAATCTCCCGAATGGAGGGTAGAAATCTGATATAAATTCCTGCTACAAAATGTTCCATCTGTTTAATAACAAGCCTTGGGAAACAGCTTGGGCATTAGCGCAAAGGCCCCTGGAATTTTCGGTGGCTAGAGTAAGAAGTACATTTTCTAACATTTGAGAGATTAGGTTCCAAAAGAAACCACCACCTGAGGTTAGAGGTGATTATACAATCTTTGAGTTAAATTAACTTTAAGCCCAGCTGAAGGCCTGCCATATATTCCCTTCTACCAATGCCTGGCACAAGTTGGACTTCACTCCCTTAGCTGAAAAACCATTTTCACATAAATCATGGAAGTCTATGCCTGAAGGATATTATCTCAAGGCTCTCCGTGGCATGTGAAACTAAACATTTCAACAACCAGGACAGTATCATCCCAATGATTTATGGTCATTTACTCCCCCCCCCCAAGGGAAAAGAAAAGATGCCCAAGAAGGAACCGCAACCAAGTTTGTTTTGCAATCTTTCTCAATTTGGGACAGTGTGAACAGGACTAGCCTCTCCTTGTATGCTACAGGGAAGGTGCTGAAATGGAGAGACAACTTATCACTTTCTGTAGATTCCAAATTTTTCCTTGGCCAGCGCTTCCAAGGTCACTTCTACCATATAAGTTTAATTCTTTTAAGTTTTGCTGTTAAGCATCACTGGCTGGAGAGGCTCTGGAAAATCCTTTAACCTGAAGTTTTTCATCATCTTCTGGCAAGCTGTGACTGTTCAACCATTTTCCTCCAGTGCCAAAGGTTATAAGCAGGTTGATCCCAATCCAATTACAGGCACAACTACTTCTCCACAAGAGGCCTATGTTCATAGGTCTGAACTTTGCCAAGCTTGGACATCTCCGATTTACACTGTGGCAAAGGAAAGGAAAGAGCCCACCTTAACATGCACAGCTACCATGTGCTGAAAGATATAGGATAGTGTAGGCCAGTGGTCATTCTTTTAAATAGTCTGTCTTAACAAGCCAAATTCTGAAATTAAAACAAAACAGCAGGATTCTACAATCCACGTGTCAAATGAGCCAGCCTGCACAAAGATTTATCTTCTTTTACATCGTTTATTCCAGCTTTGCTCGCTGTCGGGAAGAACAAAGAGCTACAGAGAAGAACGCTGCTCCAACCTACTTTCAAGTCCTTTTTTTCAGCGACCTTTTGCAAGCGACACTTTTTGACCCCCCCCCCCCCCATCATTCAAGGAAGCGAAAACCATTCCGTACTCTAAGAGCACAGCCTGTAGTATTTATTCCCTGCCCCTCTCCAAGACCGTGGTACACACTGTGCTGGAGACAGAGAGAAATTCTTCCTCCGCCCCAGTTACCTGCCCATGTTTGAAAATCAAGCCATGATGAACGCTTCTGATCCTGCCACAAAGGCCGAGCCCCAAAGCGAACAACCACAACCTATAATTTTTGGCCACTGGGGACATTCCGTCCCTCTCCATTGCCAAACACTGCAAAGTCCAAGGCACCTGCGGAAGCAGACAGGACGGCAGCGGAGCGCATTCTAAGCATTTCGAAGCAAGCAAGCAAGCAAGGAGAACAGCATGCCCGGCTCACGAGCTGCATCATGTTCCTGCTCTGAAAATTCGAGTGGCAGAGCGGTTCCCACCCACCCCCAACGACGACGTGGAGATGCAGAAGCCTCTTGAGGCCGTATGAAACAGGACAGCCACTCTTACACAACCACACATGCATAAAGTTTGGCACAGAAGCCTTAAGTCACTGAACATTTCAAAGTCTTGGGAGACCAGTTTATTTGGGGAGGGGGGTGAGGATGCTTTATTTTTATTTTTTTTTGGTCTGATAAAAGTCCTAGCAAATATCTGGTGTTTTCTGCAGCGTAAACCTGGCGCGCACATCAGAAGCGTAATTTGCATATCGCCAAGCGCTTCCTTCGTGATGAGCAGGTGGCAACACTGCGAGATAATTACAGAGAGAGAGAGAGAGAGAGAGAGCTCACCACCATCCACCAGGATGCGAGCTGGTGAGCTTGCACTCATTTTCACCGGGAGGAGAGAAAAAAATAAAAATAAAAAAACAGCCATTGTAAAATATCATGAAGAATAATTTGTGCACGTTACCACACAAGTCTTTGAGGCCAGCGGTGAGGAAGTGGTCCATAAAAACACCCCTCTTTCAAAAAGTCCTTAAACATTTTTCCATTTAATGTTGCAAATTCTGCATCGGCATAATTAGCTTTCCCGCCACTGCAGGTTGCTTTGAGCTCGCGCTGCTGGGACTGACTAACATTCCTGAGAAAGTTGAGCCTTGTAAACCAACAGGAGCAGATCATTCATCCCACCCCCAGCCAGGCCCTCCTTTCTTCGGCCAACTGCTTCCTCAGCAAACACTGCAGTTGTGGGCCAGACACACCAACCTCAAGTAGCGCTTAGACCAGACAGGACACACACACCCCCGCACCTGTTCTAGAGGAACCCCTACACGGAGCCAAGGAGGAAGCAACATAAGCAGGAAGCAACTTATGTTCTCTTCTATTCCAAGGTGGATCTGGGGAGATGCAGGCATTTCCTCCCCCCAAAAGGAGCGAAGGGGAAAGGATTCTCAGCGATCCCAAGAGGCGAACTCGGCAAGAAAAGGGCATTGAACGGTAGCTCCGAGACCAGACTACGGGGGCATGTTGGCCACGCAGCTGGAAGGAGGATCAGGCGGTCCCATGGATTCCCCTTTGTGCTTTCAGATCGGTCCAGATGCCCGTAAGAGCGGAGCCTGGTGTCTTCTGTCCTGACCGAGACATCCCCGTTGTCTGAATAGAAGATGCGCCCTGGCGCTCGCCTCCTTCTCTCCCCACCCCCCGGCCTCACTGGCCATCTCTTAGTGAAGCTCTTGGCATCCCTGTCACCGGAATTCGTAAATGGGTGCGCTGTACTCAGGGACGTGAGTCAGATTCAGAGATTGATACCTGGGGGAGCAAAAGGAAAACAGGTTGAGCAGAACAAACGCGGGCTGATTCTGCAGGAGGTTCCCAAGGCTGCAGCCTCACAGCATCAGAGAGCCCGGGTGGCACAAGGGTTAGAATGCAGGATTGCAGGCTGACTCTGCCGACTGCCAGCAGTTCAATCCTGACCGGCTCAAGGTGGACTCAGCCTTCCATCCTTCCGAGGTGGGTAAAAGGAGGACCCAGACTGTTGGGGGCAAGAGGCTGATTCTGTAAAACGGCTTAGAGAGGCGCTGTAAAGCATTGTGAGGTGGTATATAAGTCTAAGTGCTATGGCTATCAAGCAAATGGGCCCAGATGGCCCTCGGCGGTAGACTATTGACCTTGGCCCTGATGTGATCTGGACCCACCAGGAAGACAACATAAACTCCTTTGTGTCTCAATATATTAGTCACCCAACCACAGCGAAACATGCGGGATGGTATCTCTAAAATTTGGGCTTGGGCGAGGAAGAGTTCAATTTCCCATCATCCCCTATCTTACCATTCTGAACTCCTGTGATAGTAATAGCCCTCTATACATGCTGCAGACTTCTGAAAGCATATGTAATAAAATCCAGCGAAGGATGCCCCGCTGATGTCTTTAATGGTGTGATCTGGGACTAGGAACTGCTCCTGCACAGAAATTTAACACGTAAAGACAGAGAAAGCGAAAGTATGGGGTTTTTTTTAATCTAAAAGATGATCTTTTAAGGGAATTAAAATTCTTTCATATATTGTTATGTATGAAATGTACATGCTGAACCACATCGCACGTTTGGAGCAGTGTTTCTCAACCTTGGCAATTTTAAGATCCGTGGACTTCAAGTCCCATAATTCCCCAGCTGAGGAATTATGGGGAACTCTCGGTTTTGGGAGTTGAAGTCTTAAAGCTGCTAAGGTTGAGAAACACTGCTCTACAGATGGCTACAAGGAGCAAATAAACGTAATTTTACTTTTCTTAAGATTAAGGCGAAGGGAGAGTGCAGGATCTTTAAATCCAAGTTTAGCCCCTTACCACTCCTAAGGCACCCTTTGGAACTGTGCTCAAACAACTTACTTTCCATCTCATGAAGACAAAGTCATCATTCTTCAGATCCTCATAATCAAAATCATCAGAGTTAAATATTTTTGCGAACTGGTAAAAGGCTGGGAACTTCCCCTAGGAGAAAAGGGGGAGACACACATCACTGATGCCCTTGACATTCCTGGCCCCCCACTCCAAAATAAACATTATCCCAGGTTCCCACTAAGATGGGACACCGTGCTGCTGCAAACACCCAAGAAATGCTCCTTCTTCCCCCAAATGTGACCTTGCATGGAAAGCTAGCAAGTCAGGGAGAATCCTCCACGAATCTTTTCCCCATACTACCTCCGGTGTAGACTAGCTCTTGCCTCTCTCAGTCCCCACCCAGGCCGGGCAAAATCAAGGGCAAGGGACTCACCCAATGTTTACGATCCACGTCTTCATCTGCATCCCATTTCCGGGTTAAAAACGGATGCTTTTTACTGATTATTTCTCCTTCAAAGAAAGTAGTAAGCGTTGGATACTCCTAAGAGTGAAACAGGCACATGATGAACATACAGAAGAAATCCAGGATTGTTTTTTCCCCCCTACTTTCCTAAAGCAGTTGCCATTGGGCACTGAAGAATGCTTCCAGAAAGACAGGGTCTGTTCCAGACACATACCTCAGTAAGGCCTTTAATCTTTAAGTATCCACAGAGATAGGAGTTATCCATGTCAACATGCTGGAAGACAAAAGGAAAACGTATCCTCAAAGATCAGGGCTTAAGGCTGGAACAAACAGATCAAACAACACAGAGAATCTTCCTCTGCAATTGTGAAAACAAGCACAGAGCCCTGAGCTTCAATTAAAGTGGAACTAACCCCAGGTTAACACACCCTCTCCCTCCTTCTGCTACATTATTGGAAAGTCCTTCTGAAAAGTCAGTGTTAAATTATGCTAATTATGCTGACCGCCAGGAGTTCGATTCTCACTTGCTCAAAGTTGACTCAGCCTTCCATCCTTCTGAGGTGGGTAAAATGAGGACCCAGATTGTTGGGGGGGGGGCAAGAGGCTGACTCTGTAAACCGCTTAGAGGGGACTGGAAAGCACTGTGAAGCGGTATAGAAGTCTAAGTGCTGTGGCTATTTCAAGAAGCTACAGCAGCATTGAAAACAGCCTTGTTCTCCCAATTCCTGCACCACATTTAGACCATCGGCACCACTCATCGAGACAGGAAGCAGGGCCCATGTATGCATTCCTTGTTCTTCCATCTAGCCTGCAACTCTCCTTCCCTGGAGCTTCCTCATTCTACAGCCCCTTCTGTCAAAGACAAAAGCCCTATCAGGTTCCTCTTTGCCATTTCTAACCTCCTTGGCTCAAGCAGTTACACAACTCCCAGGCGTCAACCTTTCCATGTATCAAGCTGGCCTTGAAAACAAAACTCACAGATTCACCCGTCTGCTTCATCTGCTTAGAAAGAACTTGCGAGAAGAGTTTGGAAAAGAAAAAGCAGCCCAACCTTCTCTTTCATTTCAAAGGTCTACTTTCATAGGGTCACCTGGAAAGAATTGTCGTCAAATATAGCCCAGGAAGCAAAAGCAGAACAATGACCAGCGGATGCTATTCGGGGCTCCTGACCTTTACGGCGAAGGCACCGTTTTGTCTGTGCTTTGTGGGGGCAAGTCAGATTACAGTGGAAACAATGCAGGTCTGGGTCTAAAAATTGCCTGGAGGTTGGATGGAAATTGTCCAAGAACATCTGAGTCTTTGGAGTCACAGCCTCTGGGTGGCCTGGGCATAAAAGAACGGACTCTGCTGGGCTGACATTTTATTTCCAAGATTGGCCAGCCAGAAAACCACGCGTTTGCTCCTTTGGTGTCTGACAGCCGGGACATAACCTTGTGGAAATAGGTTTCCAGGGTATCATCAGCTGAAGATATCACATCCAAAGAGACCTCTGAAATTACCAGCAAGCCTATTTTGCTGACATAAAGGTGCATTGAAGGCTACAACAACTTCCCAAACACCAACCCTGACAGCAGCAGAAAGATCTCAAGCTGAAACATCTACAGCTCCAGGAGCAGCCAAATAAATGCCTTAATGCCCCAAAAGGTGTGCTCAGCTACTGAGTCCCAAGAGCTCAATTCACCGCTAAGCCAGGGTGAAAACTCCCTGGTCTCCTGGAAGCACAAGCTGTCCAAGGCTCCCGTCTTTCTTTCTCAGCACGATGCCTTGCAGGGCTTATTTGTTTATTTTACTCCACTGATGGGGCTTACATGGGGCTTCATGCAACCGTCCCAGGGAGCTCACAAGCATCCACTGGGATTTTTTTTTCTTTTAAAGCACCATTTTATCTCCCCTCCTGGTGCCAGACTGATCATCCTCCCAGCTCAGCCTCCATCCTAGCCCAACGCTGGAGGAAAGATCTTCACGTCTCCTCTCCAGAAGGCTAAAAGGGGGGGGGCACTGAGAAGAGGCGCCTCCAAGCCCCACCAGGCAGCAGGTTTCCAGGAAGGGGGTCTGGAGCCTCCCCATCTGAGCTACCAGGAACCCCCCCATACACACACACCCCTCCCTCCTCTCCCCCTTCTGCCCCTGCCAGTTTGACAGGAGGACTTGCTGGGCACATCTGGGTGCTGGGGTGGTGGTGTCCTTGGGGAGCCAAATCCCAGGGGCTTCCTGGCAGTCAGGCATGCTTGGCTCTGGCCATGCAGCCCCCCAAAATCCGGGGATCTTTGCAGCCCAGGTGTTCTTGCAAATCCCGGCAAAAATTGGGGAGGGCGGGGAAGAAAATGCCAGGCGCAAGGTGCGTGTTTGGGGTGGGGGGGAGGACTGGGCGAGGCAGCATCGCTTTGGGGGGAACCTTCTACCGCCCCCCACCAAATTCGGGGTCCACGAAGCCCGCCTCCCCCTCCCCATAAGGACCCCTCCTCAGCCTTCGTGCCATGGGGGACCCCGGGGGAAAGCACCCCCCTTTTCGCCCCCTTCCCCTCCCAGGACTACTACGGAGCGCCTCCTCCTCCTCCTCGGCCCCTTCAAGGGGAAGGGCCAGGGGCGCGGGGGGGACGGGGGCCGCCGGGGAGGATGGGTCCCGGGCTCCCCGACGGGCCGGGCGGGGCGGCTCACCTGCACCACCACCTCCACCTCGTAGGCGTTGCCCTTGGAGCGCTGCTGCCCGCGGAACTTGGCGCCGCTGTAGAGGCGGCTGGTGCTGACGCCGGGCTGCGCCGTGTTGATGGGCGGCGGCGGCTCCAGGCGGGCGGCGGCGGAGGCTCCCGGGGCCGGCTCCGCGGGGCAGCGGCAGGAGCTCCGCACCGGCATCTCGGCCGGGTCTCCCGGCGCCAGCGCGGGACGGGCGGGCGGGCCTGGCTCGTCCTCCGTCACCAGGCCGGCCTCCCTGCCCGCCTGCAGCCCGCTCCGCCTCGGCTCCGGCCCGCTCCCCTCGCCGCCGCCGATTGGCCGCCCGCCGGGCCACGCCGCGCCCCGATTGGCCGCGCTCCGGTCACGTGCGCGGCGACGGGGGTGGGGAGGGGACGCCGCTTCCGCTGGGGACACGGCGCGGCGGAGGGGACAAACTGCATTTGTGACGCCGATTGGCCGGCCGCCCCGCCACCGGCAACATGGCGGCGCCCTGAGGGGCGGAACGGTTACCTGAGGGCAGGAGGAGAGCCGCCTGAAAGAGTCGGCTTCTTCCCGGGAGGATCTCTGGGCGGTGGCGAGGCGCCTCTGAAGGGCTGGTCCCCGGCATGTGGCGAGGGAGCCTCGGGCGGTTGCTAGGCAAGGGGACCCTGGCGCGGTTTCGCCCCTCGACCCGTCCGGAGGCTTCCCCCACGGCCCTCAGGCGGCCTTATGCGGCCCACGCAGGTGAGGCGGAGATTATACGCCCTGTGGCCGCTGTGACCCTATTTCCCCTTTATTCCAGTTTTTAGATTTACTCATATTTTAGATTTACTCATTTTAAAAAAAAAGTCTCACTTTTGTCCTTTATTTGGGTCATCTAACTTTTTATGGTACAAATGGTACCGTTTAATGCACAGTCTTTCACATCCGTGTAAAATCATGGACATTTTGTCTTAAAAAAATAAACTTATGCAGTTTGACATAGATATATTTATTAGAATTGTGCCTAATTATGCTTCAGTTTATTTGGACGGTGTCTACTAGGTACGTAGATTATCTATTTGTCTATTATTTTCTTGCAGAAAGGAAAAGATTTTACCAAAATGTTAGCATCTCCCAAGGAGAAAGTAAGCACAGTTTTACATTATATTTGTTTATTTGGACCCATTTATTCTATTGCAAGATGCACTGGAGGAAAAAAGGAGTTTTATGGACAAATGGGAACTGAATCTCTATATATCTTGCTCTATATCTTCTAAAATCTCTAGCATCTTTGTGGTAAGTTGGAAATCCAAGTTCAGTGCAGGTTATTGCACTGTTGCAAACAAAGAAAATAACCAAACCTTTGGCTGTTCTCCAGAGACTTTCATAATTATGAAAACTTTTGTCAATATCTCACTATCAATGTCAAAGCCTATGTAGTACTGTGGGCTTTATATCTAATGTGGACTTCTCAGGAATATGGTTGGCCCTCAGGATGCTCTTTTCACCCAATCTAGGAAGGTTTTCTTATGTTTTTAAAGGCAGTGTTACATGTATTAAGGTAAGAAGGGGCAGGAATAGGACAAATGAATATTCAAACATTCACCTCTCAAAGCTGAAGTACAGCAAAACAAAAACAAGGTATAGATCAGCAATATTTAGTGCCATGGTCTCTTCTTTCTCTTCAGATGGTTTTGAAATCAACTTGGACAACCGGAAGCTGAGAACCCCGCAAGCTAAGCTCTTTACAGTGCCCAGTGAGCCTCTGGCTTTGGCTGTGGCAACTGAGTGGGATTCCCAGCAGGACACTGTCAAGTTCTATACTATGCACCTGGTGGGTGAAAGGAATGAGCAAGTGGAATTTTGGAACCATAGTTGGGTCTCTGAATAAATAGAGCCAAGATTGCTGAAATTATAATTATATTAGGAGAATGTGAGCCGTATTTACAAAAGTTGGTATGGTAAATGAGTTAGATAATAACGAACTGCTTTCTACACTTACTATGTTAAAAAACAGTAAAAACAAAGAATTTGGCATATTAGACACCCCCCCCCCCAAAAAAAAAAAAACCCTAAGCCCAATCCTTGTGTAAACAGAAAGCTGTTTATAGTTTGGTAAAGCCAAATATGTAAATTACGAAAAGTCGATAGGCCAAATTTAATGAAAATTCTGGATTTGTATTAAAATCATGTGTAGGATGCAAATTTGTATGGGCTGTGACAGAGGGAACATTTGCACAAGAAATTTGGTGCTTTGCTGTTCAGATATGTAGATTCAAATAGCTTAGAGTCTGAAGTCCAGATCACTTTATGTTCTTTAGACCAACTTATGCAACACAGCTTTGGACAATCCATCACAGCGAAGCAAAGATCAGCTCATCCAGGCAGCTCTGAAGTTCTTGGAGACAGATACTATCTGGTAGGCATTCATTTTGGCTTCTATGGTTTATTTAGGGTTGGAAATTTAAAGACTTCCTTGTGGTGCAAGATTTAGATCACCCAAGAAGAACAATGGATAATTGGACCAGTCATCTCACAGGGATGTTGTTTATGGGAGGCAACAGAGGAAGGTTTCCATGTAAACTATCTTGGATGTCTGGAGGAAAAGTGACCCAATAAAAAAATTAAAAATTCAAACTAGGTAATAAAGGGGGAGGAAACACTTCTACAATTTGGGCAATGTAGTCATTTCCATGTGGCAGGATTATGTTTTTCTTTGGAATAAGGGAAGATTAAAAGCTGGAGATATTAAGATGCAAAAGTGACTCTAAGGCCTGACTGCATTGTTGTTTTCTAAACTTCCCTGGATTCTTAGCTACCGGGTAGAGGAGCCACCAGCCTTAGTAGAACTGCAGAAGAATGAATGGGATCCAGTAATTGAATGGGCTGAGAAAAGGTCAGTATAAGCATTGTGTCAGTGCCGAAGATCTTGGATTCTGACTTTGTTTCATCCTTGCCCAGAGCCTGATGTATCAAAACTCCATTCCATCTCCAGATACAATGTTGTGATTGGTTCTTCGACAAGCATCATGGGTCCTACCCTCCCACAAAGCACAAAGGACACCTTTATTAGCCACTTGGCTTCATACAACAGCTGGGCCCTTCAAGGTATGTCACATAACATCCTGAGATCTGGTGGATTTCAAACTGCATTGGATTAAACATTCTTCATGTATTTCTGTGTGGTGGTAGCGCTGATTGGGAAGGTGATGGGGAGATTCAGGGACCTTTCCCTTTTTAAATTGAATTTTTTTAGCCAAATATCCTCATCTTCAAGCATAGGAAAACGTACTTTATAAGAGAAAGTGACAATTCTTCCCCTTTTATTAACACGTAAAACTAGTTTGTTATTAAGTCTTACAATATTTTCCTCAACAGGCATAGAATACATGATAACACAGCTAAAGTCTCTGATTCTTTCAATGAGCCTGGTTGACAAACATTTAACAGTTGAACAAGCTGTCCTTCTATCTCGGCTGGAGGAAGAATATCAGGTAAACTTTACAACATGACAGGTTTTATACATTCCTATATGTGGATTCAGACACCGTGCTCAGCAGTATTGCAGTCTGTTTGGTTTTGGCTCGTCTGTAATAGAAACCTGTTGTTTTCTAAGCTGTGGTTTATGGCTTTGTCTCATGTGTGAATCGGGGGTTATTTTTTGCATCATGGCTGAGGATATTGTGAACAGCCATCATTGGACCAAAATGGAGATCAGGAACATCCAAACTGAACTGGGCTTTAGTGAAAGGAATGTCCCTTAGGATATAAGCAAACAGTTCCTCTTCCTGGAAAAATCTGCCAAGTGCCTTGAACTTGCCCTTGGGAAGGTTCAAGATGGTTGGTTGATTTTTCCAGGAAGAGGAATGACGTATGGTTAGTCCCGAGTCCTACAGTGGAAAGCAAGGCCTGCAATTTTGTTATTTCTCTCTTTTGCTCTAGATTCAGCACTGGGGGAATGTGGAATGGGCCCACGACTACGAAAGGTATGACTTGCGAGCCCGCACAGCTGCTGCCACCCTGTTTGTCCACCTTTGCTTAGAAAATTCCACCATCAAGCACAAGCTGCTTCAGCACTAAGGAACTGGGATGCAGGAGAAGGGAGAATGTCCGTCTGGATGAGCCTGAAGAAAGATTCAGATGGAATGGATGATGGAGAGGTGCTGTGGGCATGTCTGGGCCACAGAGGAGGAGACATGGCTCTTCTCTCCCATGCCCTTGGAGGCTGATTCTCCCTGGAAGTTTTGGGAGTGGCTTCCTATCCATCTCACCTGGGCTGGCCACTTCTGACAGGATTTCCTTGTTTCCCAGGTTCTGCATTTTGCTTGGCAGGTAGACAGATTTCAGGAGCAGAGTGTTGGAATGGGTGGAAGGCCACATGTTCTGTCCTGGAGGACCTGTAGCTAGAGGCGATTAGAGATGGGACTGTATCACAGCAATTGAACATCTCTATTAAGATTGAAGGCACTCTAGCTAGTCCCAACATGAGACACAGGCTCCAACATGCCACCAATAGGCCCTTTGGTGACCATAAATATCCTGCTCCCTCCTATTAAATTTAAAAGGGATCATATTGCAAACCAAAATGGTAGGATCCACTGCCACCTTTATTTTAAAGAACCATCTCTCGATTCCAAATTAGCTCCATAAACTTTTATTAGAAAATAAAAAAACGGTGAATACAACTGAGTACTTTGTTTGGAAGTGTGATTTGAAGACAGACAAAAACTGATACATTTTGTTCTTTTTAAAAGAAAATATGTCTGTTTATTCATTTTGATCATTAAACATTTTGGGGGATTAAGGAATCTAAATCCAGAAATGAAGCTTGTACACTTCAGTACTGAAAGCAGCTACTGCTCTAGGATGTCCAAGTTATCCAAGTCGCTGCGGATATGATCAATATAATGATGGAGTTCTAGCACACGGTTTCGGTTCCGGTGGATTTCATCCTTGTGAACCTTCAGGGATTGAAAAACGAAGATGGGAAACCTGAAGAAGCTTCAACTCTTACTCAGGAGGTCTCTTGGTTTCTTAAGGTTAGTTAGGAGAACATTTCTGCTCACGTTTCCCTTCGTAGCCAGCTCCGTTGAAAGGGCCGTTCAGTACACCAGAAGTTCTCCCTTTCTCAGGAATGACTCTTCTTTTGAGGAAGGCCTAACGATTTACGCTTACCTTTTCAATCAGGCTGTAAACCCGATTGTTAGCTTTGGTGATGATTTCATCTTCTCGGTTGTCAATCTTCAGCAGGTGAATGTCATGGGAGGCATTGACCGCATTGACGATGGTGTCTTTGTCCACAAAGAGCTGGAAGCAAAGCCATTGAGAAAAGGTTCTGAGGAGCCCCTGATGGGTGTGTGTATGTGTGGTGTCTAATGCCTGATCCAGAAGGAGAACATTCCCCCTCTTCTGGTCCCGGGGGGTAGTTACGGGAGGGGTAGGAGAAGCTTACCATGCGGACTTCATCCGGCATCTCTTCATCGTACTCGCTCTTCACTATCTTCTCCAGCGTGTTGATGGCTGTTTCTAAGAGCTTCTCGTGATGGTGATTTTCAAGATCCCGGCATTGTGCCATCGTGCAGCAGGTGGTTAAGGAAGAGCCTTGCTCACTTCAGAGAACCGAGGAAAGCTTTGGTTTATCAACTCAGTGCAGGACATACATGAACCAGCTTGCTCACAGCTTTTCTCTACATAAATTAGGACACCTCAGCGGCACTCAAAAGGATATAGTCCTTGTTCGTTCTCTATAAAAATTGAGACGAGATCAAGAATGTTCCTTTCAAAATCTTTTATAACTTCCTGGAAGGGGGGGGGGGGGAAGCAAGACGGAGTGATTTTGAACTGAACCCAATTCCAAGACTTTTCACATTCCAATAGGATTACAAACTTCATTTCTTCGGGTTTGCTGACGTGGCTGGGTGTGAAAAGATTGGGGGATGACTGGTACGGCATAAGGCTGTGTCTAGGGATGCAGCATTTTTGCAGTTGTGTTTAAGAATGTAAGAAATGCTCGACAATGTTGAATGGTCTGGTAGAAACTGACCGGTTTTCAGAACCATAGATCCCAATCTCCCAGTCCATGCTTAGTAGATCCTAACAAGAGTTTTCAAGGGAGCCCCCTGCCCCCATTGCCTTACCTCCAACTGGTCAACCAGCTGCATCTCCAGAGACATCAACGTTTCATACAGCTTGGTGATTTCATCATTGTACTCCACCAGTTTTAACTCGGCCATCTGGGAGTCTGCGAGGTTCTGAATATCTTCGATCATCTACTGGTAGAATACAAGACAGAAAATATTTTTCTCGTGCCCCAATTCCTCTGTTAACGGGAAGAAAAGAGATGCTGGCACAAACGCTTGAACAGTGGAATTATTTCCACAGGAGGTTTCAAATGGCATGAGTGAACCTCTGGAATATGCAGGTTCCTCAATATGGCTACAGTCCTAAATGTAAGTACCTGTGAGTAAAAAAAGTCTAGCACAAGATCCTCCCTTGTCAGGCAATGCAAATACTCAACTTACAACTATTCATTTAGCGACCAAAGTCCCAACAGTACCGGGAAAAGGGACTCATGATTAGTCCTCATACCTACGACTGTTGCAATCTCCCCACAATCATATGATCAAAATTCAGGCGCCTGGCAACATCCCAGGATGGTGTGATCACCATCTGTGATCTCCCTAACCAGCTTCCGACAAGCAAAGTCGCTTAAGGACCATGTGATTCACTTAACTGCAGCTATTCACGTAACAACTGTGGCGAAAGTAAAATCGGGCACAATTTAATGGCCACTTTGCTTAGCGATGGAAATTCTGGCCTCAGCAGCGGTTGTCACCTGTACCATTTGTGTGTCTTTCTTTCAGGCCTGGTTTTAAAGGAGGCTTCCTGGATAAACCTTGGTTTGCTCAAATAGTTCGTCCCGCTCTTCTGGTTCACAAAGCAAGCAAGGTTTATGATAGTCACAATTGTCATCAAAAACAAAATCGACGGGAGCGGAAAGGCACTGGGGTGACAAGGCGCCAGATTTCCCAACATTCATGTGGCAAGGAAGCTACCCACCCCTTGGTTCTTCTTCTCAAACTCATGAATGGTTCTGGTGCCCTCGTCTTGGTTGTCTTTCAGGGCTTCGTTGAGGCACTCGTAGAAAACGGCAATCTCGTCCTCTCGCCTTTGGTGCTGCTGCAGGCCGTATTCGAACAGCGTCTGGCAAATCTCGACAAATTTACTCTTGTAGGTGTGGTTGGAGTCAAGGAAGCAATAAATAAATAAATAAAACTAAGGCTGCTTCATGGCACGTCTAAGGCCTGCCTGGGGAAATCCTGGTTGAAACAGGAGCACGTGCTCCTGCCTCGAAGGGGTCAGTCTGAATCGGTTATTCACTTTCCTCAGGTCCCAGCTGAGGGAGATCTGTCTGGAGCATGGAATGGGGGTCAGTGAAGCAGCTTAGTTGCCCCAGATGATGCTACTTGAACACAGATTTTGGAATTCCCTCCCCTTATGGCTCATCAGAGTTATTTTGTTTGTTTAAAATGTGACACAAGTCCTCACAACACCGGCGAACTGCTTCAAATAGTATTTTCAAGATCCATCCCTCAGGAAGGATATGTCTCTAACAGTGCTGGTACGCCAGGAAGGTAGATCAACTTAGATGCTTCAGGGTCTTCTGCAAACATGCTGTCAAAGAGATAAGACCCATCCAGATACTCCACGTAGGCAGACTTGGAAGAGAAATCACAAAAGTCAGATGAAGGCTGCAAGGCTACCTCGGCTTTAAGAACCCCCTGGGGCAAATGACCACATGCAAATGGCATGGAAGGCTTACACCTGGGGGTAAACTCACCCTTTGCACTCAAGTATGGTGCGGGAGGATTTGATTTTAGCACAGCAGGATTAGGGTTTGTAAATTAGGATTTGAGGCTTAACCAGGATCCAGCTCAGTGTGTGAATCTAGCTGTGGCATTCCTCCAGAGACTTCAGGTTTTATATTTCAGCACAGGGAATTTCACTCCAGAGTTAAGCAAATGGCACATGGACAGATTTTCCTTTTAAATAGCAAAACGGACGCCCGTTTCTGACTCCGTTTTAACTGGGTGGTTTTTAAGGTGCCATTAAAACTTGGGGAGGCGGAAGGCACCCAGCAGCTGCCCCTCAGGGTCCGGTGACCCAGAGCCAGTGAGAGTGCCACTTACCTTGTGGTATTCCACCTCCTTTTCCCTGGCTTCCCACTCCTTCTGCTTGGCCAGGACCAGCGTTTCCCCGTGCCTCATCTCCTCGATGGCATATTGGTACTTCAACAAGGCCATCTCTCGCTGGCAGGAAGGCGAGAAGGGAATGACAGCTGAGATTAGAACTGGGTTCCGAGGTCATGCAAGCAAAATCTCCCCAAGGGGGGGGGGGGGGGGGGGGGGGGGGGGGTCTCGCTATCGGTTTATAACGAGGAGGGGCTCTTGAGATCCTTACCATGTTTTCCTCCACCAGTCTGAAATCCAGGTACACGAGATTGGGCAGGTAAGCCGCAATGAACATGGAGTACACTTCATTGTCACACACCGGGTTCCCAGTGAGGTTGAGTGTGCGCAGGTTTTTGAATGTCCTGAGATAAATCATCTGTGGTAGATGGACAAAAAGGGCTCAGGTAATCAAGGAGCCTATAAATGATTAATACAAATATTGCAATAGTCACAAATGACAAAAAAAAAAAAAAAAAGAGCAGGAAGGATTTTTCATTCAGGAAGCTTCTGTTTAGAAATTTTAGTATAGTGCTTGGGCCTGAAGGAATTTTATTCTCATTTTAATATTTCCAATACAAGTTCAACATTTTTAAAAAATATTGAGATCCACAATATATTACAATGCATTGTTAAATTATTTGAATGGTTCAACCCACAGACATGTTGTAAAGATCGTAATGCCTTCCACCCTTCATATTTATTTAGCATTAAATAAATCCTAATTATTAAGTCATCAATAGTTGTTTCCTTAGCCGATGATTCATTGTATAGTCACGGATGTGTCATTGTCCCCTTATATCATCTTACAATAGAAGAGAAATCAGAAGAGGAGCAACATGAACTAAAATATATATTCTGAGTTCAAAAATGTCTAAATGCCCAAGAAAACGGGTGCCAAAGATTTATAAATCCTTTGTAATCAAAAACTTACATTTTCCAGATCGTTGATATTATTGTTTCCTATGGAAAAGACTTGGAGTTCTAGTAGTGTATCCAGATTCTCAATCCTGGAGATTCTGTTGTTGTACAGACTAAGGTCCTGCAACTTAACCAACGTGTCTAGGCCTTCGATTAATTCGATATTATTGAAGGACAAATCTGTGGGAACAAATTTGGAAAGTATGAGTCCCAAAAGGACCCCCTGCCCTCAGACAAGACCTGCAAACCCAGACGGCCATTTGTAGAGCATTGCTGTTAAAAGATTTTACAAGCTCTATTGAATGGGGCAGGGTATAAATCCAATAAATAAGCAAATGAAATCCCTGTCATTAGCTCTTTCTCACGTCAGATGTTTTCCCAATGTGGATAATCATCTGATCAGAAAGAAAAAACTTTTCTCTTACGGGAAGTACAGCATATGAAAAGCAAAAAAATCTTAGCCATAGACAAAGCATTTTGTCTATTCAGGTCAAGATGCACCCAGCAGGGCAGGGCAGGGCAAACAGCTAAGAGGTAGCAAAGCTTCTGTTTGCTGTGGCATTTGACACAATTTCAGATGGCCCGCAATTGCTAGATGGAATTCTTATTGACATGTAGAAACATATGGCTCTCATTACCTTACCTAACCAAACCAGATTAACCAGAGAGTCCAGTGCTTCTATCTTTTCAATAATATTGTTGTCGAGCTGCAATTTTGTGAGGTTCACAAACTCCCAAAGATTGTCGATCTTCAGGATATCTGAGACCAATAAGAAAGAAAAGAACCACTTACTTTAAGTTGGCCACAAATGTAGTCCATATCCTAGCAATACCAAGGTAGATATTAACTGAGACAAATCACAGCATCGAATGTCAAACTCTCACACTTCCGTAGTATCTAATTGTCTAAATTAAAGACCCAATTTTAATCACATTATTTACAGTGGGTCAGCACTACACAACGTTCACAAAGAATTGGGCAGATTTTAGCCCAGGGAATAGCTTATCATCTGACACCTGCAAAACAACGAAGCGTGGAGAGTATCCCAACACATCCAGTGGTGGGATTAAAATCTTTTTTACTACCGGTTCTGTGCGCGTGGCTTGGTGGGCGTGGCTTGGCAGGTGTGGCAGGGGAAGGATCCTGCAAAATCCCCATTCCCTCCCCACCCCACTAACCTGCTTTCCAGCTCCGTTCTCCTGTGCAGGACAACCAAAGGAGACCCAGCCAATCAGCTGGGACTCAATGGGAGGCGGAGAAGAGATGGGGGGTGAGGCCAGTCAGAGGTGGGATTTGCCAGTTCTCTGAACTACTCAATATTTCCGCTACCGGTTCTCCAGAACTGGTCAGAACTGGCTGAATGCCACCTCTGAACACATCTGCCAAACAAATCACACGCAATCTGACACCCGCAAAACAACCTTGGAGAGCATCCCAACACCTAGAGGCCAACCGATTACAGAAGGATGGGGTAGAAAGGCAAGAAGTAGAAAGAGAAGGGGGAATTATCAACAGACTAATTATGGACCATCCAGTCAGGGTCAACTCTTAGCAATCACGTGGATAGGCTTTCTCTGGGCCCAGCCAGGTCCTCCAGGCCTTCCAATACCAACTGTAGCTTAGTTAGCAAAATAACTCAAAATTATGCCCGACCAGTCGAACGCTTTCCTGCAACAGCTTCTTCCAATCCTTTCCACAAACCTTCTTAAATACCGAAGTGGAACTACTAGGTGTTCCCGGGGCAAGTTGCAGACTAGCAAGTCTTTGCAGTGAAAAGCGGGGAAGCCTTTTTTGAGAAATGAAATGCTCTCTTTTGTGCTCCTGTCCTTACTTCTGAAATCAAGTTGTAGGGCTTTGACCTCTTTGAAGTTGATGCCTTCCTTCTTAGCCAGCTGGCCTGCGTCATCCTGAGGGCCCTGCTCCTCCACTGCTTTCTGCAGCATGTCCTCATTGATCACGTTGGGCTCGATGCTGTCATAGAAGCGACTCATGTTCGGGAGAAAGCCGGGCTGAGGTTAACCGGATTCCGTGGTTGGCCCTGAAATGCAAGGAAAAATGACCCCCATTGCTGGGATCTCTCTATAGAGGCGCTGAACAGAAGTCTGAAATCTGACTTCTGAACACAACAGATTAACAGAGTTGGAAGGGACCTTGTAGGTCATCTAGTCCAACCCCCCCGCCCAAGCAGGAGACCCTGCACCATTTCTGACAGATGACAGTCCAGTCTCTTCTTGAAAGCTTCCAGTGATGAAATTCCTGACAACCAGTGGCCACCAGGTCTTGCCAAGTATCAGGGACCCCCCAGTGTGCCCATATTACAGGCAGTCTTCGACTTACAGCAGTCTCCGTTTAGTGACTGCTCAAAGTTACAACAGCACGAAAAAAAAGTGACTTGATTGTTTTTCACAGTTACGACCGTTGCAGCATCCCCGTGGTCATGTGATCAGAGTTTAGATGCTTGGCAACTGACTCACATTTATGACGGTTGTGGCAACCCGGAGGTCACGTGATCCCCTCTGGCGACCTTCTGACCAGCAATTGGATTCGCTTAACGACCATGTGACTAACTTACCAGCTGCAGGGATTTCCTCGACAACTGTGGTGAGGAAGGTCGTAAAATGGGGACAAAGCTCGTTTCACAACTCCCTCGCTTAGCAACGGAAATTTGGGGCTCGGTGGTCGTCGTAAGTCGAGGACTACCTGTATCTCATCTGCACCTGTCTTGGTTGCCGGTCTTCTTTAGGTGGCTCAAGCCTACCTGGGCCCGGGACCCGATTTCTTGGGGTAATCTATTCTCCCTGCGTGGACGGAAGCTTCTTTATCCCGAGTTTGGGTCCGCGCTCCGCAGCTCGGGACCCTCAGAGACCCTCGGCCCTGTCGAAGGAAGGCCTCGTTGCTGTGGAAGCCGCGTCCGTTGCTAGGGAAGGTCACGTGACCTCTATCGGCTTCCCTCCTGGCTTTCTTCTCGCGTCGGAGCCCTTAGCAGGTGAGTTCGATTCGCATTCGCTTTGCGGGACGTCTGTCAGAGCCGGCGCACCAAGGAAAAGCCACATAAACAGCCGTTCCCTCTCGGGATTGGTTGTCGGAGCCCCACGGCTTGCGCATCGCTTGCGAATGCTACCCAATAGTCTACGGATTTCTCCCGCAGCGTTCTCCAATGGCGAAGCGGGGAAGGCGGGATCCTCTTCCTCCCCTCCTCTTCGTCGTCTCTCACAAGCGGCCCGTTTTCCAAGTCGAGTCTCCCTGGCCTGACAGTGATGGGCGTCTCGTTCTTCCAATGACAAAGCGCCCCTCGGGAACCCCGTCCAATAGAAAGGGAGCCGGGGCCGTCCTCGGGCGCGAGCGCCGCCGCGTTTGGCCGCCGCCGCCGCCGCTCAGGCAGGGGAGGCGGGACGAGGTGGCGGAGTGAGAGGCGACGCGAGGTGGATCGGGCCGGGAGGCCGGTCGCGTTTGTTGTCATCCTTAAGATGGAGTTTCTGCTGGGGAACCCCTTCGCCACCCCGGTGGGGCAGAGCCTGGGTAAGCCGGCACCGGGCGCGGGGGAGGATTCGGGCCGGCTGGAGCTCGGCTGAGGCGCCCTCAGGCCAAGTTGGGAGCTGGGCCGCGGATGGGGAGGGGGCCACCCAGACCCCTAGGCCCATCTTGGGACCCCCGGGGTCGGTTGGGCTGAAGAGGCCTTTCTAGGCGGGGAGGGGGAGGCTCTGCAGGCGCCCCCTCCCCAGTGACCCCCCTCGAGCCCCTGTGACGTCTGCAAACAGCCCACCTGCACAGGTGTGCCCCTCCCCCTCCGCTGGCTGAGAAAAAGCAGCCCCTCCCCCCTTTGGTCCCTGCAGAGCATCTTTCCCAGGGGGGGTGTGGGGTCCCGGGGGGGGGGGGGGGGGGGGCTCTGTGGTGGGTTTCAATGTATGGCGATGCTGCGATGCGCACCCATCCCCCCAATCAGCCCTGGAAAGGTGGGGGGTCGCCTGTCAGGTGAGGGTGGATGAGCATCGCCCGGCCTTTTCCAGATGGCCATCTGCTGCTGCTGCTGCAAATTACCTTCTTCTTTTCTATAGAGGTCTGTATAAAGTCTCTCTGAAGGCACATGGGGAGGGATGGGGGGATTTCCCTGGGGAAGGGGTCCTTGCAAGGACCCTCAGAACAAAGGCCAGCTGTTCCCCTGGAGGGGAGGCGGCTTGTGCCTGGCCAAGAAAGTGTGTGCCCAGCTGGCTGTGACACGCCCAGCAGCTTCCCAAAGCTGGATCCCTCTGCAGGATGACTTACGTTTTGTGAAAACTTTGGTGGTTTAAAAAAAAGAGAAAAAAGCATGCATATATATATATCTACATTTGCAGCAGAGGTAAGATTGCCTGGCACTGATATGCCAGGGTTGGGGGGGGTGAGAATTGAGGGGCGCAAGGCCTTTGGAGGATCTGTGGCAAAAGGGGAACGAAGTGGGGGGGGCGAGAGGGAGCCGCTACAGAGGGTAGAGATTTTAGGAAGAATTTGCACCCTGAGAGTGAAGGAAGAGATCTCGAAAAGGAGACGAGGAGGTTCAGAGGTGCTCAGAACTTGTAGATGAGCTTGGAGCTAGGAATGCTGGCAGGAAATGAAACAGAGGATGCCCGAGAGGGAAAACTGACTTCAAAACACAGCAAGGTGCAGATTTAGAGGCCCTGTGATCTTGAAAAAGATCTCCTGAGGGGCATCCAAGAAAAGATGATTGGATTGTTTGTGGATATTTACGGCAACTTCTCCACTTAAGCTGTGGTTTTCGTGGTTTAAAAAACAGTGACTAAGCAGGGGGTGTGGGAAGGTTGATGGCCGTACAAAAACCACGTGTCAGATTGCAAGGACCTTGATGACACTGCCTTGCGATGTGCACCAACCAATTGTTCTGTTCAAAAGAAACAACGCTTTGCATAAATGCCTGCCTGCCTGCTTTAAGGAAAAGGCTATACGGCAGGTTGGGAGGCTCCTGGGTGAAACATGCCTTTAAAGAACCGAAGGATCCAACGGTTGTTTGGTGAGTGGACTTTACGATCAGTGGCCGTTCAAATCACTTTCTTCAACTCAGTTTGGAGGCAGGAGAAAGGGCGGGCAAAGCTGATGTTCAAGGTTGAGAAATGGAAGGGAGAGGATATGCACATGTTGAGACATATAACACAGAAATTGGAAGGAAGACTTGAGAAATACAACATCTATGTCGGTTTCGACCTAGCTTTTAGTCAAAATTAGGAAATGGGCCGCAACCTTTTCTTACTGGGAAGGATCTTGATCAGTTTATGAAGTTAACCACTTGCTTGTATATCATTAGGGTAAACTTCAACACATATTTTGTTGTTGAATAGTCTTGTGAATGCTGTAGGGTTGCTGGGTCTGAAAGCAGGTAAATGCTGTTTAATATGAGTTCATTTTTCTTTGTGGCAGATGCTAAATCGTTGAGAATGAAATCAGAGACCCTGTTCTAAAGGGCAGCAATCTAATTAAGGTGCCTTCATTGTGCCCTTGGAGACTCAAAAATAGATTCTGGCCTTTTTTCTAACAAATTGTGACATTTTATTCAATGGAAAACGGATTCCCAACGCAGACAGGGAGGGTTGCATAATGAAAGTGTTGTGTATAGTCCAAGGAATGTCATTTACATCCTGACTCTGTTGACCTTTACCAAGACCCTGAATAAGTGACTGGGAACATCCCTTTATTTAAAAGGAGACATTACTGCAGTTGTAAGAATTTTCTTCACAGTACATGTATTGTTGCAATATATTGGTATACTGTGAAGCTGAAAGTCCTGAGGCTCTACACCAGTTGGGAAAGAAGAATGTAAAAATCTCTGAAAGAGAAACAGATTAAAAACAGGCCATTGCTGCTCTTCTTTTTGAAATCTTTGTTTTGTTAGAGAACAGTTTCTATGTGGTCTTGATTCGGAAGGGACTTCGGAATTTTTGAATGAATTCCTTGAAGTGTTGCTGCCTTGAAGTTGTCGGGTCTTTGAATTAGAGTATATAGAGGCTAGTTCAGACACTGCACTAAGCCAGCAAGGGATTTAGTTCTTCTTGGTTTAGGATGTTTTCTGAATGCAATCATTGTTATTTTTTTAAGGAGTTATTAAACATAACTATAGCTTAGCTCAGTGAGTGAGCCCAGCCCGGAAGGCACAAGCAGAGGTAGCACTTCACAATGGAAGTAGCTGTGCTTGGAAAATTGAAGCTGTGTCTAAATTGGCCAACTCCAAAATGAGAAAAGACGTTGCACTTACATGCTTGTTATTTCTGCCCTCTTAGGCAAAAGATGGGAAATAGTAGCTTGAAAATCTTTATTCTGAAGAAAATGTTTAGTGGTAACAGACTGCATTCACCTCTTTGGCTATTGATTTAAAAAAAAAAAAAGAACCAAAGGTTGGCTACACACACAGTGTTTATCAAAAGATCAAAAGATCCCACTTGGCTTGCAGAGCAGCATCTGATCTCAGTTGACAAATAGTTGCTTTCAAAGTCTCATGTCAGAAATTGTCCAAAGTTTAATCGCACACATCTCCTCCCCAATTTGAAGTTTTAGTGTTGAAGATTTAGTAATCTTGCAGGCTTTGGTATGGATGGCACTGACATTATGTGACCCCGTTGCTGACTCTCCAGGAAAAAAAGGCATCCAACCTATTATTACCATCTCAGTCTGGAATTTTGATGATCTGCAAATCGTGTACAGTATAACAAGTTTTCCTCTGGTGGCAGAGGGCAAATGGCCTTAAAAAGCAGAGAAGCCTGTGAAGGGGATAGAAAAACAAACATGTCCTGGATGAAATACCTGCTGTATAACTTTGGCTGAAGTAGGTCATAGCTCACTGAATTTCCCTTGTTGGATGTTTCTGTGGTTCTTCCTGGCTCCTGTGTGAGATGCAATCATCTGACTTCCGTGTTTTTTGGTGGCCCTTCTGACATTAGGGAAGATGGAGACTGGTCCCATTAAAGTCTGTTGGATTGATGACAGCTTTGGCATCTGCAATTAAAGCCGGTGGCCTCCGCAAATATCTAGGGCTAGAAATGCATCAGCATTATACTTCCTCTGCCAGTAAATGGCATTGATTCCCATGAAAATTTAATTGCCAGCACACTAGGACATTGGGTAAACATGAGCAAACACTGCCTAGGAAAGGTTTGAGATGATCAGAGGCTTATCTTTCTCTGTTGTAAAATGTAAATAACTCAGCTGTGAAACAGGTTGAAGCAGTAAAGGGATAAACACTTTCTGAAGGTTAATGGGTAATATGTTTATTCATTCATCCCTGATGCAACTCTCTCTATGTGTTTGCCGTATTTGCGACGGCAGGAGGTTCTTCTGGCAGCATTTTTTGACCATGAAAGATTGGGCAAGATTTTTGTGAAAGCACAGAGTTGGACAAGTTAGCCCACAGAGATGTGTTGAACTCTGAAAAGACCATAATGATTGTTCTCTGAGGCTGAGAGTTAGCTAATGAAGGTACCCACAGAATCTCAAACTACAGTGTACAAGATAATTCAGGCTGGAGGAAGAACTTCTCTCTGTTTTCTCAAATTGTGGGTTCTTTCAGGCTTTAAATTCAGTTCGCTACCCACTGGTGGCTAGTCATCAGGGATCTCCAAACTTGGCAACTTTAAGACTTGTGTACTTCAACTCCCAGAATTCCTCAACCAGCCAAGTCCACAACTTTAAGTTGCCAAGTTGGGAGACCCCTGCAGTGGACATTAGGAGAAGTATTCAAACAGTGAAAGCTGTTGGACGCCAACAACCCTGGCTTGTGTTAATAAACTGGCTTCCCAGTTTAAAACAGCGAGGGATGGTGCATTATTTCAATATTGTCCATTTTCTCCAATGAATTCAGGGAGAATCTCTGCCTCCCTTCCCTCTTTCCTTTTAGATCCTCCCTGCAAGTTGAAAGGTTATTAAATAACTACTGTCAACAGGTCATGACTATTGCTGATTATATGCTTTTTAGTTCCTTTTCTCTAAGCATGGAATCTTCCTTGGGATCTTCTCTAACTCCTCCCTACTCCTTTTTTTCAAACACGCAAAATTGTATGCTAGCTTCTGGCATATCCGCTGGTTAATAGCCAAATGCTAATGCATAAATATTCCTGAAGGCAAAAATACAAAGGGTGAAGGAACCACAATTATTTTTTTTTAAAAGGGGGATGAGAATGTTTTAAGTTCTGTGCAGGATTCCAAATATTTATTTTTTTAAAAAACCAAGTAGGTCTAGTTCGATGTGACATATTGGGAATGGAAGCAAAATATAACTCGGCTCACAGGTTGCTCGGTAGTACAACAGGAATAAAAAACAATAAATCTGCAAAGCAAGCACAGGCCTGCACATTAAAAAAAATAGACCATTTCTCTTCCAATTCTCATTCTGAACAGCTGTTTCCAATTATATTGCCTGCTGACCAAGAGAATGGCCTGGTTAGCACATCAAGCTAAGCCCAAATGGAATTTATTTGAGTTTCAACTAAAGATATCATGTGAGCTTAGCTATTGTGGTTCATAAACCATGGCTTCTGACTTGACATCATCCAGCAACCCTTTCACTCGGGGTTTTTTCAATAAGCCATTGTTTAGCTTAGAATTGGACCTTAACTTACTAGTCTGCAGCTGACCCTTCACAGCATCCAGACAGTGACTTAAGAGAATGGCAAAAGTACCTAGAAGTGGGCAGGTTTTAACAGCCAGAGATCGTTTTCCACTGCAGTCCCTCTAAATAGCAAATGGCCATTTTCTTGAAACAGAAGACGGGGTGATTATTTTTCAACTTCGAACCACAAAACCCAAAAGCTCCCCTCTGATAAAATTAGAGCCCTTTGCAGTACTTGCTCTAAATCAGCTGCTATGAATAACTGGACAAGATGCTGGAGTGGCCTCAGACCAGGAGGTGATTGCTGCTCGAGGTTTGGTGGTCCAATATTTCTGCAGATAAATAAACACACCAGAATGCGTCCCTGTTCTAAAGCGCTTTGAGGGTATAATAAGCCTATTTCAGGTGGATTGTATTACAGTAGGAAATCCTCGGGAACTGAACATTAACTCTTCAAAAGGAACATGTAACAAGAAATAGGTTGGTTGACTTAGTATGGTATGCATCATCTCGCTAATAAGTATTTAACAGTGTGTGTATGTGCACGTGTACACACACACACACACACACACACTATACCCAGTTATAATTTGTCAGCTTTCACCTAGATCAGAAATGTTCAGCCTGCTCTTTACAAAAGACATAGACTTTGAAAATTGTTGCCAAACAGTAATTTTTCATCTAACAAGAGAGTAAATAGAGAACTAGTGTATTACCATAACAATTACATTCCAATGCGAGTATTAAAGAAACTGACTTTTTGTCCAAGGCATCATCTACTTTTTGCCACATCATTCAAAATTCAGTTCTTGGCCTCAAAAAATATTGTGCACTGAGTTTGATAACATGACCTAGACTTTGCTAATAACTTTGCCACCCGACTGCCCCAGCAAGGGGTTATGGATTTTTCCTGTCTGCTTCATTTTGCATGTGGCATCAGTCAAAAGGCTTATGAACTGTTGGGCTTCTCCTTAAGAGGCTTTCTGGCACAAAAAAGGTAAAAGGACAGCAGAGGTGATTTAGTGCTGTTGGCCAGAAGAGGTTGCTTTATCGGATGGCAGACTCAATATCTGATTTCAAAGTATTTCCTTTCCTACCTATTTCTGAAATCTTTTCCTTCTCCTGGTACCTTTTATGGTCATAAAAGGTATGACCATAAAAGGTACTATATTTTATGTAATTCTGAACAAGGTGTGGTGCACTATTTGCTCGGAAGGAAGACAATCTGGGTGGAATTATCTTGTATTGTACTGCTATAGGTGAGGCTAACTAGTTTGGCTGTCAATTTCGCAGAAAATGAGCCGCGTATTTGGTTGCCTTACAGAAAAAGCCACTGATGGCTCCCTACAGAGCGAAGACTGGACACTGAACATGGAGATATGCGACATCATCAATGAGACAGAAGAAGGGTATGTGTATGCACACCCTGTTAACGGTCAGCAAAATTGCCTTTTGTGATTTTAGAGACCTCCTTTTCTGGGAAGAGTAGCTGCTTGTTGGTCAGGTGGTCTCTGCCAACCGTTTTGATGTTCAGCTCACGATAACTGCAGACAGTGTTTGCTTGCCTTAATCCTCATCAAGCAGAGAAGATGGCGCTAAATGGACCAATGGCTTGAAGTTGTACGAGCCAAACGGCCCCCAGCATTTGATTTTAAGCCTGAAGAGCTTGTTCTGTAATATGTTGTTCAAGAAATTGTTCAATAATATTTTGAGTAGCTGGAATACTTTAGTCCAACGTGGCTCTGTGGGTTTAAATGCTATAGCAGCATTGTTGGCCTGTCTTCTGCAGTCTCCTTTTAGGCAAAAGCATCACAAAACTAACATCTTTTTGCTGGCTTCTTTTCCAGCATCTGACCTGGCTTGTTGTTTTTGTTGTATGTTTTAATTTGCTGAAATTATTTGTGTGTTCCCTCGGGGGACTGTATTCTCCTTTGAGATGCTCCATTGTCCTTGAGCAAACACCGGAGCCTCCAAGCCCCCAGGTTCAAAACAGGTGTGCACAAACAGCTTAAAACTGGGGCTGTTGTGTTTCTGTGCTTCAGAGGCACCTGGGGCGCTCACCATCCTCTCCTCCTTCCCTCCTCAGCCCGAAGGATGCTGTTAGAGCGCTCAAGAAGAGGCTGAATGGAAACAGAAACTACAGAGAAGTGATGCTCGCTCTAACAGTAAGTCCAAGGAATCAAGAACTGGAGACTTGGGGGAAAGAAGTCCGTCACCCTGGAGCCCGACCTAGCAGCTCTCTTTTTTTAGGATGCTGAGTGTTGACTGTCTCTTCTGCACCTGAAATGTGTTTTTCACACCAAGGTCCTGGAAACTTGTGTAAAGAACTGCGGCCACCGCTTCCATATCCTCGTAGCAAACCGAGATTTCATAGATGGTGTCCTGGTTAAAATAATTTCACCCAAGAACAATCCTCCCACCATCGTTCAAGATAAAGTCCTTGCCCTGATTCAGGTATATTGTTTTAATTTCAGTCTCTCTTTCTTTCTGAGCGTACAGCATCACAAATCCTAACAGTTTTAAGGCCACCTAGTTTTGAACCTTCTACTGGCCAGACTTTAGCAGGTTGATAGTCCTTTTAATCTTGGTATGGATAGTATTTCCAGTTGTGCATTCAGCAGCTGCCTGCTTCTTAACTTGAAATGGTGAATCAAACCCAAGGCGGCCGATGGCTCTTCTCAAGATTTGGGGGCAACAACCTGCAATGTTTGAGGGTCTGAATCCCACCTTTGACTCTTGAATGACACATAAAGGTCTCCATGCCAAAAAGGAACAGGGTCAAGGATGAGTGGCTGTTTCTAGCTTTTCTCTCCATCACATTAAAGATGAGAGGTAATTTCTAGTGAGACCCTCTCCTAGGGCTGTTGTGGGGGTGTCTCTCATGATCTCTCTGTTGTAATGAATCCCAGACAACCTAGTGCAGGGGTCCCCAACCCCCAGGCACTGGGCTGTAGCACACCGGAAAGTGGGCAGCACATGAAATCACTCCCAGTCAGCAGAAAAATCTCTCCCCATGGAACTGGTTCCGTTGTGCCCAAACATTTGGGGGCTGCTGCCCCAGTGAAGAAAAATGGATCGTGTAGAAACAGCCTGACAATCCTTCCTGGGTTGTTTTTTTTCCCCCCAGGCTTGGGCTGACGCCTTTCGAAGCAGCCCCGACCTCACAGGAGTCGTGCACATTTACGAAGAGCTGAAGAGGAAAGGCATCGAGTTTCCCGTGGCGGATCTGGACGCCCTGTCTCCAATACACACCCCACAGAGAGTAAGTGTCTCCTACCCAAGGACCCAGAGCCCGAGCTGCAAATTAAAGAGGGGGATAAATCGTGCGGTAATAACCCCTAGAATACCGCCGGACATTCATTGAGCTGGAAAAGACGGCTGCCTTTTAGAACAACCTTGCAGGATCTGACCCCGGGCACTTTTAGCACCCGGTCTCCCAGGGTGATGGGCTACTAGCTGCTTGGATGGGAGGCTGCACGATCTTTGAGCCTCCAGGCCATTTAGGTGACTATTGAAAATAGAATCTGTCCTACACACACACACGCATGCATGCCTGCACACCCCCTCCCCTCGGCATATTTAAACATGGGGTGGGTCTCTCATCCAGTGCCGTTTCCTTTGCTAGAGCATTCCTGAAATCGACCCGGCTGCCAACATGCACAAGTCACCATCTCAGCAAAAAGTGAGCTCCAGCACCTCCCCTACCTCCTTCCCGGCTCCTCAGACCCCCCCTCTGAACGTGACCGGCCCCATCATAGCCACCACGGAACAGGTAGGGCTCTGGAGGAAGCGGCTCAGGGGTGGGCTGGGGGAGCTGTGCCCCTCTCCCCTGCACTCCTCCAGGAGACCCCTCTGGGCTTTTACACACAGAAGCACTTTCCTCCTCCCCCCCCCCTTTCCCTTCCCGCTCCTCAGATCGCACGATTGCGCAGTGAGTTGGACGTGGTTCGTGGCAACACCAAGGTGATGTCGGAGATGCTCACGGAGATGATCCCCGGGCAAGAGGATTCCTCAGACCTTGAGTTGCTGCAGGTAGGGCAGCAGCTTTCCTGGCTTT